GGTGCATCCCCACCTCACTGCAAGATGCTCTAGAGCTGAAACTTTCCAGAATTTGTATTCAGTGGGTGTTTGTGAGCAGTGCCTCATCCCACTGCCAGCAGGGAGCTCCAGAAATATCTGCACAGGGTTAACACTGCCTTCATGGTGCTCATTGTGCTGCTGGAGGAAAGCACCACCTTTGGTGCCAAGAACATGCCCAGGCTTAAAAAAAAACCCCATGGGAGGGAATCACARCATTCCCAAAGCCTGGCCTTTGCATCACAAAAACTGAGCGTGCTCCTCACTGTGCTGGTGAGAACAAAAGTCCAACAAACAAAATGAACAGCTTCAAAAAACAACAAAGCCGTGCTGAGGTTTGTGCAGAGTGTTTGCTGCCACAATCTGGCCCAGAGTCACCATCTCATATTTCCCTGCCAGAACGATGGAAATATAAATAGGGGCTCTAAACCCAAAGTATTTCCAGCTCATCCATCCAAAGGATGGAAATTACAGTCTCTTAGCAAGGAAAATGTTGGAGGGTAGTGAGGTAATGGGAGCTGGTTACAGAGCTCATTTCTCTGAAAATCTGTAACACAGCGTGGAAATTGTCCTTGGTGCAACCTCTGCTAAAGTACCTCCCTGTTGCAGTGGAAAAGCCCTTTCCTTCCAGAATGAACTGCTCAGCTCCATTTTGGGAGCAGTTTCTTTCCAGCTGCTGTTTCCAGATATTTCTGAATGAAGACAGAGCGTGACAAGAAGTGAAATGTGGCTGTTGGAAAGAAAATCCCTTTGGCTCAGCTGGAAGGGCCTCCCTTGGGTGCACRGGGGCTGAGAGCTGCATTCCTGCTCAATAATACCCTGGAAATGCATGTTGTGGGTCACAGCAGTGCACCAGGGGCTCTGATTGTTTATTAATTACTTTACCACCTCTGCTGCCCTTTTCTTGTTGACTCACAGCCATGAGAGCAGGGATGTGCTGGGTGTGTGGAGTGTGATTAAAGGGGGATGTGCTGGGTGTGTGGAGTGTGATTGAAGGGTGTCAGCGAAGGGAAGACTCAAATCACTCAATATGAGTTATAAGCAAACTTCAATTTATTGTAAACAATGTCTAAGTTTTATAACTTACATAATTAGCTCATGCATATTCTGTAATACATGTATTTCATAGGTCCACATCCTATAGGTCAACTCCACCTTTAATGATTCCTTTGCCAAATTTCCCTTATCTACTTCTACTTTTTCCCAGGGCTAACTAACACAAATACCTTGTAGGAAGTTTCCAGCAGCTTAAAAACATGATGTCCTTGCACTGCCTTCCCATCGCCTGAGAAGGATGGTTCACACAATTTCAGCAATTATTCTATCTGAATACAGAATAATTAACAAGAATATAAAAATATTAAATAATATTAAGAATTTAAAAACATTCTACCTGCATTCCTTCGTCTCACCAAGCTGTAAAATGTCTACGTGACCCTTCCCATCTTAGCCAGCCTTCCACAAAAGGGGGATGTATTTCAGTGTGTGGATGTGTTTTGGTGTGTTTTGGTGTGTGGATGTGTTTTGGTGTGTGGATGTGTGTGAAAGTGTTTTGGTGTGTGGATGTGTTTTGGTGTGTGGATATGTATGGATGTATTTCAGTGTGTGGATGTGTGTGGATGTATTTCAGTGTGTGGATGTGTTTTGGTGTGTTTTGGTGTGTTGTGTGGATGTTTATGAGATTTTTCTGAGGTCCCTCATGATCCCCCACCCACTGGGCATTGTTTCAGAGTGGAGTCCCATCCTCAGGAGAAATCTCTCTGCCCCATGTGCTGCACATTGCCATGAGCTCACCAAGGGTGTTCAGGCTTTTGGAGAGAACAGAGAATCCCCATCCATCCCCCCAGTGAATTTATGACCCTTGGCTCTGCTCGTGCCTTGTTCCTGTACATGCCTGAGTGACATGGAAACTGCAGAAAGTCTGTTTGGCCATTTCTGTGCTCCCACACTCACAGCTTTTTCCAAATTCTCCTTTTTTTAACAACCGGGGGGGTCTGTTGTGTTTGCTGCCTTATAACGCAAGCAGCACATGTGCCAGTGAAAACAAAGGGGGAGGATGGAAACAAACGGGTGTTCAGAAGGTTTCTGGAGGAGTTTGAAAGTGAACCAGCCTGTGTTGGTGCCCTGCAGGTCGTTCAAGCCYGATTTGGTGTTGGTCCGGCAGCACGCCTACAGCATGGCGCTGGGGGAGGATTTCCGCAGCCTCATCATCGGCCTCCAGTACGGCAGAGTGCCCGGAGTCAACTCCCTCTGCTCCATCTACAACTTCTGCAGCAAGCCCTGGGTGGTGAGTGATGGCAGATCCCAGATCCCAGTGCT